CACTAATGACTTGTTGGATAACATTAGCAGCATCGAGGAAAGTCTGCCGAGATAAAAATGCTGCGCTGTCGGGTTTGTTTTCATCATTTTCTTCTTGTTCCAAAACATCCATTGTGGTAGCAGGCAACTGCAGGAGTTCTTGTTCATTTTCGTTCAGAGTAATACTTGATCTCGTTTTTTCATGCGAAGAAGACCATTGATGTTGCTGATATGAAACTGGTGTACTAGAATCCATTTCTGATTGTGTATCCATCTGCTGTTGATGTGTAGAGAGAAGTGGCACGAAATGGTTTGTGCGCCATATTCGATCACGTTCTGGTTTCGGTCCCGACCACATAACTTGCAATGCTGACGAAGGGTTTTGTGACTTTTGTCGTGGTTCAAATGTCCGATTGAGCAATGTATAATAACCATCTTCTTCACCACTGATATCTCCATTAACATTCGGATATACCGATCGTATAGGACGATCAAATACCGATGATAGAGCGGCTAAAGTTAGAACACTCGTATACTCTCCATTATTTATGATCCGTAATACATGGTCTTCGACAGATTCATCATCGACAAGGTCAAGACCTAAATTACTGATCGTAGTTGTATAATACTGATCATGTAAACATAACTCTTGAATACACCTGAATCGAATTTCATCAATGCTAACATTAGGATAAAATGTCCGACAGGAATGGTATAAACAATCTCCATCTGTCTCAGCTTCTATTGGAACTGAATCACGATTTAAAATATCTGTGTAATTTTCCAATAAATCCCGTGCTCTTGTGTCCAGCTTATGAATTTCTTCATCGTATAACAGTTGTGGATTTTGCGGAAATTCGTAATTGTCCGCTACGCTAGCCATATCCACACATTTAGCTTTGACTTGCTCGAAGTTTTCACCTTCATCTCTTAATCTCGTAAGAGCTAGAAGAAAAAAATCTGCTCGACTTTCTGAAAGGCACTCACGACAAACCGCTGAATTATTTGTTCGACGGCTACATATGGCACACGTTAACTGGCTACAAGTCTGAAGAACGTTCATGTTTCTCGTTCACTTCAGAGTGAGTGAAAAAGAACAGAAAACATTTCATACATTTTTTTTATGCTCTCTTTACTGCCTAACTTTATTGAATACTGCGTGTTTCCATTCATAAAACAATGATGTGTACGTGCTTATCACGTTTGTTTCAAGAATACGATATCAAGAAAAAAAAGAAGAGAAATGATAACTGCTTGTTCTAAATTTCTGACTTCGTTTCACACAAAATTTCGCGAATTAAAAAATGTCGAAGAAGTTCACCGTAATTAATTCACCATTGTATTACGACGAA